CTACACCAGTCCACGTGAGTGCCCAGCTCCCAACCCGGCCCCGCTGCTGGGCTCCCAGCCTGACCCTGCTCCTGCCCTCGCCAGAGCCCCTGGGGCTGGCTCGGTGCCCAGGGCTGAGCCCTGCCCTCCCTGTCCCCCGCAGGCTGGGGCAGCAAGCACGACATCCGTGTGGTGGAGACCAACTACGAGGAGTATGCCTTGGTGGCCACCAAGATCTCCAAGAGCAGTGGCTCCTCCACCATGGTGCTGCTCTATAGTACGTCTGCCCCAGGACCTCCATGCCGCCCCCCAGCACCCCCTGGGACGTCCTTGGTGGGGGAGCTCTCCTGCGGGAGAAGGGCAGCAGCACCTCCCAAGCTGGGGTGACCCAAGGGACGGTTGGGTTGGGCCCTCCTTCATGGGGACGCTGGCCCGTGCTGGGCTGCCCACAGCCCGGGTCAGCGTGACCCCTCATGGGGGGGAGCTGGGGGGCTGCCTCTCACCCTGCTCTTGGCCACAGGCCGGACAAAGGAGCTCAGTCCCGAGCGCCTGGAGAGGTTCACCCAGTTCTCCAGGGAGCAGGGCCTGACGGACGAAGAGATCCTCATCCTGCCCCAGACTGGTGAGAGCAGCTGGCGGGAGAGGCTGGAGGGGCAGGGGGTGTTGGGGAGCAGGGGCGAGGTTCCCCAGGGGGCTGGCAGGGGGTTGCCGCTGGGCAGAGCCCCACGCAGGGTCCCTCGGGGGGGTCAGCTGTCCCCCAGCCCCTGGAGGAGCTGATCTCTGCTTTTCTCCCTCCTGCAGACAAATGCATGGCAGATGCTGCCTAGGTGAGTCCTGCCTCCGCTGGGGCTCAGGCCAGCTCTGGGGGTGCCCGGAGCTGCCCCACACCACAGAGCCCCCACCCTGTCCCAGCCCTCTGCAGGCTGCTCCTCTCGCTGGGGTCCCCCTGACCCCTGCCTGGAATGCCCCACCCTGTCCCCATGGGGTGGCTCTTTCCTTGCCCCAAGCCCTGGGGGGTGGGGGGGTGTCCACCCACTCTGCACGGGGCTGGCAGTGCTGATGTCCCCCCTCGTGTCCCCCTGTCCTCCCCAGCTCAGCCACACTCGCCCCCCATCTCTTCCAGGCAGGCCCACGAGCTGCTGCCGGCTGGAGCCCCGAGACCACCGCAAGCCGGCAGCCACCCTGTCCCATCCCATCCCCTGGGCACCCCCAGCACCGCAGCAGCCTTCGCTCCCTGGCTTCACCTCCCACACCCGTACCCCCCTGCCCATTAAAGCCTGGATAAAACCAGCCCCCTGCCTTTGTCTGCTGGGTGATCACAGGGCGAGCCCCCCTGGGGTGATGGGGAGGGGGGAAGCACGGCCGGTGGCAGTGGGCTGGGGGTCAGGGCTGATCCCAGCTCCTGGCCGTGGGGCTGCCGGGGTGGGACCCCAAGTGCACGTGCAACCCCGTGCCATGGTGCTGCCAGACCACCAGGCCTGCCCCGTCCAGGGAGAAGGAGCCCCCAGAGGTGGGACCCACTGCAGGGGGATCCACTCCTGCCTGCCCCCTCAGGCACCCTGGGCTGCCCCTGCCTCCCTGCCTCAGTTTCCCTGCCAAAGAGCAGGCTGGCAGCCAGGGCAATAGCGATTGCAGAGGGGGGTCTCTCTAAAAACACGGGGGCAGGATGGTCATGAAACAGTGACAGCTGTGAGTGTTGGGTGCGGCTCAGCCCCAGCTGCTCCCCGTGCCAAGAGCCTGCCCTGGGAGCAGGGTCTGCGCCCACTGCCAGCAGCCTGGGAAGCTGCAACCCTCTCTGGGGGGCACTGGGCTGTGGCTCAGCCCCGGGCTAAAACACCAGCCCAACCATCCTCCCCCATGAGGCAGGATCTGTCCTGGCACTGCCAGACCCTGGGGCCAGTGAGCAACAGCCAGGAGTGGGGTGCTGGGGGCACCCTCATCCTCCTCCCCAGACAGCACCGGCACGGGGCATTGCCCGGCCCCTGGCGTGATCGTGCTGGGTCTCACACAAGGCTGCATTCATCCGGGACTGGGCAATTGGAGGGGGAAGGGGCCAGCGCTGTCACCTAACACGGGTACGAGTTATTCCTGCTCTTGCGTAACCTGTTGCGTAAAGCAGGAGGGGGCAGGGGGTGCTGCCAGTGGAGGGGGCTATAAAGGTGGGAGCGGGAAGAGGCAGGTCCATGCATCTTCTCCTGCCCCCGGAGCAAGGATGACAGCGATGCTGCCCAGCCTGGTGCTGGCCCTGCTCTGCCTGCTGTGGGCAGAGGCTGAGGTCCCCGTGCAGCCGGGCTTCAATGCCGAGAAGGTAATGGCACAGGGTGCCCACCCGGCCGGTCCTGCCTGGCTGGACGGGCTGGCTGGGGCAGGGTGCCCATGCTGAGTCCCCAGGCATGGCTGGACCCCCCAGGCACCCCCAGTGCCAGGGCAGCGGCCAGGAGGGTGCAGATGCCTGTGCAAAATCGGGATAGTCCTGGCCAGCTCCGGCCCCCTGTGGCCAGCCCCCCTGCAGGGACATGAACACCCGGGGCTGTGGCATCCCTGAACATGTGGCCACATGGGCTGGATGCTGCGCCCACCCTCCTGGCACGGGGCAGGGCAGGGGGTTCTGCACACAGGTGGGTGACAGGTCCCCATGCTAGGCTGGCTGGGGCCCCCCGGGGGGGGGGGGGGCCCC